TTAGATCTTCTTCCAAGAACCATTGATTTCAAGCTTAGATATGACAGTAGTTTGCTCTCAGATACTTGATGAGACCTGTGGTTAGAAGAAGCAACTGAAAAAAAATGACACAAGGAAAACTATAATCAATTTATCAATAGAAAACACCATTTTTTCACACAAGAGGGCATCCAAGAGCTAAGAAAGTGCCATTGCCTTTTGAAAAACTACACTTAGGGTAACCATGGCCTGGATGATTGAGAATCTCCATAGACATCCAAGAGCTAGTTTGAGGATCTTGCTCTGGCAAATCAATTCACCATCTGCCCTAATACATGGTTAAAACAGGAAATAAAATGGATACTGCTTGATGCACAGACAAAAAAAAAAAAATAGCTTGAACCCACCAAGGCAGGTTTCTCAAGTTTCCCTTAGCTTTTTTTTTTTAGCTTAGAAAAACACTTACTTGAAAGAGACTTTTCCCCATAAATATTGAATGACTGTTAAACTCTCTATTAAAAATAAAACTACTTTAGCACAAAACAGAACTTTTATTACTTGTGCCATTGTGTCACCTCAAGGAGGTTTTTTGTCCTCTCTGCTACGCTTGTTTTTTGTTGTATCATTAGATGTATCACGACTGGAGATAATCTTGCCCAAATAGCTGGAGTGGGGAATGTATGACCAGGAATTGTTTGGACTATTGTCCCTAATCCGTGGCCGTGCTAAAACTTGATGGTTGGGGTATTGATTGGATTCATCACAAGGAAGGTTCTCAAAAGTTCTCTTCCCTCTTTTGCGGACTTAATCGAAAGACAATGATATTGAATGACTGATTTATAGGAGTTCTCTGTTATTAATATGATCGCTGATCTCCCACTCCCATTAGTAGCAGAAAACCAGAAACTCATTCAAAAACTGTAGTGTGTTATGGTGAAACACTCTTTACCCTGAATCAACTTGAGAGCAACAGAAACTTAGGAAGCTATTTTAAGAATATGTTATTGTAACTAAACTATGTAGTTATGACTTTGCACTTCCTCTGTATTCCGTACTTCCTTGTCTTTCAGACTGCAGAAAACCTTATTTATGTCTTACTGTACATCAAGTTCAGGTTTAAAAACCTGATGAGTAAAATTCCTAAGAGATGCTGTATACGTCCACCTCTTCCAAGGGCAGCTTCAGAAATCACAATGGTATTCAGAGCACAAACACAACAGAGCTTTCAAAATGGAACCAACTTAACAACCAGCTTGCTGCAAACTAGTAAAACCTGCTAATAATATGACTTAAGAGAGCAAATGGGGCATTTAGCCTGCAACCGCCCTCCCAGTTAGGGTCCCTGTGCTTTAGCAAGAACAGCCATCCGGTTAGGATATAAAATGGTCTTATTAGAAATGGCGAGGTTTGGGTAATGTCACAAATAGGGGTTTCTCCTACTTTTACACAAATCAGCCCAAGGTGCTTTTCTTTATATAAGATTTGTAAGACCCATTAAAGCAGAATGGAAATCTTAAATAAACCGTTACTTATAGGGACAGGCACAAGACTGAGAACGTGGTTTGTTTCAAGCTCAGAATGAGAGCTCAATTCAAAGTATTTCAGGTTGGTTGTGTAGTGATAAAACAACATTCAAAAGGTTTCAGTATTACAGCTACAGAAAACATTGGGAACTTGGAACAAGTTCTTTGTTTCTTCTTACCATCAAAAGTCACAAGAATAGGTGTGCTGTCAGTCTACGCTGAATTTTTTTTCCATAAGATATTCTACTTTTTGTCTGAGAATTCAAGGCAGCGAACATGGCATGTCTCCTTATTTTTATTCCCAAAACAATTTGGTAAACTTGGTCAGGCTGAAATTATATGCCCCGAAGGCATTTAACCACGATCAAGTGAAGTATTATAACTACTGCACTGCACTGCACCAGTGGTGGAATTCAAATTTTTTTACTACCGGTTCTGTGGGCGTGGCAGGGGAAGGATACTGTAAAATCTCCAGTCAGAGGTGGTATTTGCCAGGTCTCCAAACTACTCAAAATTTCTGTTACCGATTCTCTGGTCAGAACCTGATAAATACCACCTCTGCACTGCACTAAACTCAATTGCTAATTGCCTTCCAAACTGCAGTAAAATAACTAATTTTTTTTGGAAATATTAAAAAATTCCTTAAGGAAAAATAAGAATAATCAACTGGTTTAAATTATGTAAGTGGAGAGCCTTGTTAGTCTATGCCAGTAAAAATTAGGATACTGGGGGCACCTTTGAGAATATGTAATTGGGGAAAGCCCTGGGGGCTCAACAGAAAAATCTTTTTAAGTTTTAAAAATCCTGCAGCTCCCAGTCAACCCATTAATATAATGAGAATGCTACTCAGAAACATTTTTTACAAGGCTCCCTTTTTCTTTTGCAGTCTGCCAATTCTATGGCATTTTCTGATGCTTTTGAATGTATGTAATTGGGGAGGGAGGGAATTGTTCATGCTAATACATGAATTTTAAAATTGCAAGAATATAAAAGGGAAAGGGCATGCATCATGAAGCTAGGAAACCATCTTCTGGAATGAAGGCACCCCCGCAAGTCTATGGATTTGTAAAGCTTGAAAGACTGATTAGAAATATGGATTTCTAAACCTTGTCTTCCAACACTACGTCAACACCAGTGTTGTATATTGACCCATTCTTTTTTTTTAGCAGCCTTTTAAAACCTTAAGACTTTCCCAAATGGCATAGGAACCTAATAATGGGCATATTCTGCTGATGTATAAATAGTTCTAAATAAGCCAAATTACACTAAAATATAGATTCAGCGAATTAAAGTATGAAAGTTGGGCACATGGTCACACCGAAGTAAACTGCCAAACTAATTCCAATATAATAAACATTTACAAATACTAATTTTTAAGAGGCTTCACAAGAGATTTGACTGAAGCTATCCAGGCTGTTTCTTATTGCTGCTGTTATTTTACGCTTCTGTTGGAGGCTTGTCAGACAGTTATAGTTGAGAGTTCCCTTTGAAATGTCAGCCCTCAAACAAGTTAGTGTCTGTATAGCAATAGCACTTAGACTTAGATACTGCTTTATAGTGGTTTATAATTATATCCCTCTCTAAGTGGTTTACAGAGTCAGCATATTGCCCCCAACAAGATCCAGAATGTTTTCTCTGGTGATGAAATCAATAATCAGGATAATACAATTCTAAGCAATGTTGAGAATGAGCAGCTGCCCATTTTCTCCAAAGCCTGACACTCAAGCCAAACAAAGCAGCAAGTTAATGGTCATGTTTTTTTCTCTAATTATTTTTTTACTCCTTTATGTCTCATTGGGAAGGAAAATACTTGGCGAGGGACTATTCTAGCACTTCTTGGGGGAAAGAAAAGGCCTTAGACTTAGCTGGTCATCTTCCATCTGAGCTTGCAACATTTCACTTGGGGGCCCAGCACCAATGAGATCTCCCTATAGACAAATTACTCAACTGGTACAGTGATACTTTGCTTCATTCTAGCCCCTTCCAATTCACCAAACTTGTGGGGTTAGAAGTGTTGCTTGTTTTCAGTGATTTCACAGAGTAGCCCTTTCTTCATTACTGCAATAAGAACAGGCAGATATTAAAATGCTGCACATCCTTTAAAAGAACACAGCAAAATGTCCTCTTAAAGACAACATCACCTTCCCACACAGAGTCTATAAGAGTTACTCTCTTTCTATTCTTACACAGTAATTTTTCTCAAGTAAAAGAAACACGTGGAAAGAAGCTGTATCTCCTTTCAAACATATAGGGCCAGATGTCAGTACAGTGAAATCTTGGGTCGCAAATGCTTCTGTTTGTGACCAAATCAGGTTCCAACCAAAAAATCCACCCGGTTTTTGAATCAGGTCACGATTAAAAAAATGGGTGGCGAACAAACCTGGCCATGGCAGATTCTCTTTTTGTGCCGATTTCCCCTGCACCACATGCACAGTCTGCACATTTTTTTGTCCGTGCATATGCAGTCAGTCATGCTTCCGGACATGACCAAATCAGGTTGCAACCGTATTCCTGGAACGGATTACAGTTGTGACCCAAGGTTCCACTCTATTCTCTTGTGCTGCAGTCTATAAAAGATGCATGGTAGTTAGTCAGGGTCCATTCTGGTACCTTTGCATGCTCACAGGATGCCTTGCGTGACCATGATAAATGCAACATCTGCCAACAGAATTTCAAATTGCACAAAATGTTTATTTGCATTAATCCAGTACATTTAACCTTCCGGAACTAGATTAAATTAGGGGTAGGACATGTTTTCAACCTTAACACTTTCCATCCTTAAAATATGCAACATTATAAAGCCCATAAGAAGTTACCATAAAGGTAGCAGTATTATTTAGAACTAGCTTTGACAAAAACAGAGCTTTAAACACATTTTAGTGGTTTTAACAGCACTACACTTGATTAAGAGAACTCACGTAAAGTGAAAATATTTAGAATCAGATACATCAGTTAAGAAAATAAAAAAAGAGCCGTGTCATTCAGATATTCCGGAATGGACGCAGTAAACATTTTGTACTCTGATATTTTTATTCTGACATTCTATTCAGAAAGTTAAACAAGTTCTCCAAGTCTTGGATTCCAATAGCTAGATGGAAATTTCTTGTAAGGCTCTTCTGTTCTTTTGCAACACTGCTGTCTATAAAACGTTGACATGTTAAGAAAAAGAGTGAAACAACTACTTCTTAGTCAGAAATTCACAGACACCTTCACACTCTGAACAGCTTTGGAAGTGAGTCTGATAAGATAAAATTTTATAGTCATTAGCTAATACTGCACTGAAACCAGGTTTCTTTCTGAGCAGCCTCTCTTGTCTAAAACAAAGGGCTCAAACTCTAGAAGCCTAGATTACAACCAACTGGCAAATGTTGAAGAGGTTTACATACTCCTGGGCGGTGTGGGGGGGGTGGGAACCCTCCCCCAACATTTTTATAGTTTCATTTGGTTGTTTCACAGGTAAAATCCCCAGAGTAAAATCTGAAAAAGGCAACATGTTTCATTTTAGTTTTTTTTAAATACTTACATGAAAAAGAGCAAGTTACAAAAAGCATAAATTCAATCTTAATATAAGACATTCATAGTACAGTGGGACGTATACAGTAACTTGACAATGATCATCACAACGAAGATCCAAACACCTTGTCATTTAATAAGCACATCAACCAAACTGCTACTGTTATTATCCCAACTACTATGGTAAGAACCACATACGCTTGCAGTTTTGCAACTTTAAGTCCCAGATGGAGGAGACATCACAAATATTTTAAGTTTCCCTTCCATAAAGGCCGTTTGGGTGTTACAGTGAACCACTCACTATTAATATTCAAAAATTTACCAGCAACTCTTTAAGTTTTCAGAAATGGCAAAAGTACCCTAGTGGGAGCAATTGGCCTAACTAGTAATCTTGAATACTGTAAGGACACAGTCTTAATATCACTAGGGAGTAAACCTCATTAATACCATGAGATTTACTTCTGAGTAAACAGGCATAAAGTTGCACTATAACCTCTGCTTGAGCACCAAATGTCTTATGAATCTACAAAATAACTGATGCTTTAGTCATTAAATGTTACAGCTGTTAACCGCTGCTCACAATTTCTAACTAAAACGTTCAGAATGCTTTCACACAGATACCTACAAATTACTCTAGAAATGGCACTGTATTAGGTAGCATTAGTTGTATTCTGAAATACATTCCACACAGGTAATTCAGTTTACCACAGAGGGTGGAAGCTTTTCAGGCTTTTACTTTGGCAAAGCCAGTTTTAGAAATTTTTATCAATCACATTATCTTTTTAAATGAAAACCCTGGTAGAGATATTATGTACCAATACATGGAATGTAGCTAGGTTTGTTTTTTGGTTTTTGCAAAAAGAAAAAAGGTATGTCTTTAATTTATTAAAAAAAACACTTTATAAAAGTCACATTGGTTTATTAGATTTGGGAGGGAAGAGCTATACCCTATCGGTTCATGATTTGTATTTAATGAAATTATTTGTGAAAAGTGATAGAAGCAGTTGTAAAAATGTGGTTTTGCTATCACATAAACTTCTACAATTTGTAAGTTTACATTGTTTAAAGATGCAGAAGTTAAACTTACAACAGACATTAAAAAAGAATTTGTAAACATACCACCACCCATTTTTCACATCATTGTAGCTTGTTAATGTGGAATGGATATTTCATAATGCAGCATGTTGGTTTGAACCACAATCCCAACCTGGGCTTAAATGGACTTAAATGCCCCACCTAAAGTTCACTGGTTAGATGTAGTCTCCACGTCTTCACGGTGGATGCAACATGAAAAGGATAGGCTTCTGTGCAAGCCGCCCTGAAATGAACGGGAGTGCCATGTTCTTGCCCAAGTCCTATTTATTTCAACTGGGGCTCTCCAAGGACAGTGCTTGGAGAACGAAGTGCTCCAGCACGTGCTATGCAAACTGTAATTCTAGGAAAGATTTTTGTCACTTAAGTTCACAGTAAAGGTGAACATGGTCAAAGTCAGTGCATTTTTCCCTCTACAATCCCCCTCCCCAGGTTTCCTGGATAATTTCTTTTCCCCAAGTAATACTGAGTCAAAGGCAAATTGTTGTTGCAAATGTCTCTATCTCCGTGTTTCATATCATAGCTGAAGGATGATATCTCCAGGACTTCTGTAAAGATACTTCCAAATAGCGTAATAATGAACGGCAGCTGCTGTGGCAACAAACAGATGCCAGATGGCATGGGCAAATGGAATTATTCCATCACTCTTGAAGAAGATCACTCCCATACAATAAATTACGCCTCCCCAGGCAAGTTCTTGAAGTCCTTCTGTGTTGTTCTGTAGATGAACAGAAAAGGGAACAGGTTTCTTTTTAACCTGAGTACATGTAAGAGAACAGTCATTAACACTAAAGGAATACAGTGCAATTTCTGTTCAGGCTATACACAGACAAGATAGAGGTAAAAAACTATTATCAGGTATTGACATAAAAGCCTCTTGGCTTAAAAACCAAGAGGATTTGTAGTACAGGATCCTTGTTTCTGCAGTGACCAGCAATATATCTATTGCTTTAGTGAACGGAGAGGGTTATTGTGACCTAGGCAGGTGTTTACATTCCTCTCCAGTAGCTACTGGTATTGCTATCCAAGTATAATAAGGATAAATGGAAGAAAAGAGAAGGGGGCAGACAGATCCATGTGGAGAGATAAAACCATTTAGACATAATGGTTCATTCCTGTGCCTCTGTTTGTGAAAGTAACCTGGACAGTCAGTTGGAGCAACCACAGACCTTGATACTACTTCCAATGAACATCAGGTTGGTCTGTAATAAAAATGTTAACATCCATGGCATTAGAAAAAAATCAAAGAGTTAATTAACTAAATGGGGAACAGTAACTTGTATTGGTTCACCTTCTGCCAACAGAGTACTTCATGCAGCAGAGACTCAGTCTTTGGGCTAGGGATGAGGTGTGGTTATCCTCAACAAGGATTTCATCTTCCACACTCTTCTCTCTGGGATTTGGCTACCTTTAAGGATATATGCTGGCGGCTTCACCACCTAATGGAAACCTTGACTGAGCAGATACAGGTAATTTTAAATGCAGGATTTAGAGATATGAAGACTTCCAAATGTAACTTCCATGCTGAAGTCAAGGAAGTTCATGATTTCATGGGTTTTGTGCATTAGTTTGGATTCCCCTCAAAGGTCAATGGATCTGACTGAATTCTAGATAATTCTGGGGAGCATCTTATCTGCTTGGCTTGGTTGAGATGTGGAATAATTAAGGCCAAGTGCTCCCATCCCTTAAGGAAAGCAATGACAAAACTCTTGCTTAAGGAAGTATCTTTGAACCCAACCAATTCCTACTGTCCCTCTGTGTAGCCAAATTAATGGCAAAGGCAATAGCATTACAACCCCAAATGATTCTTACAAGTAATTATCTACATCCCTTTCATCTGGGTTCAGACATGAACTGGCACAAAAACAGCACTAAGCCCTCTTGTGGATAATCTGTACTGGAGAGATGCTTGCTGTCTCTCTGCACAGGCTTTTATATTATTGGCCACTGTTTCCTTTTAGAGCACTGGGAAGTGGTCTGTTGTCTGTCCACACAGTGCTAGGAAATAGTTTCCAGGATGCTGCACTTTGATCCAGCAAAGGAATGCAATCCCTATTAATAGAATGCGTCCAACTTTGGTGGGGCTCAGTTGTTTGTGTACATCCATTAAAATCATAACTTTTCTGTTAATCTAATATTACTAAAAATCTTCAGAAATTAAGATAACGATCAGGCTGTTATTCATTTGTCTATCTGACTTGTATCCTGCCTTTTACACAGGAGCTCACAAGACATAAAGAATGCTCCCTCCCTATACAAATATTAACATCATTTCATTGACTACTTCTTAGCTTTGTTTTTATAGTTTTTTTTTTCCAGTTTTTAACAATAATAATGATAATTGTTTTAGGCATTTCTTATTTGCTTTAGCTTCAACATATGCCACCTAGAAACTCTCATTTTGTGAAATGGGCAGCTATATAAACTGAGCAAACAAACAAAGAACAACCCTGCGAGGATGGAGGGAGGGAGGGAGAGAGACAGAGAGGCCCAAAATCACCAGTGAGTTTCTGGCTGCTGGTGATCTAGAACTTAAGTTCCCATCTCTTAATACAACACCTAATCACTACACTGAAGATTTATTTTAAGATGTTGCCTCTTTCTTACATTTGTGTTGTTCCAATAACAAAAAAAGAAAAAGGGAGGCAAAAATAAAGTCAGCTTCTTAGTGCTCTTTTAAATTTGAAGTGTATCAGTGGTTGCACAAGTGTTTTCTTTTAAATGCAACTATTTAAATGAGTGTTCCTTACCATGGAAGTTACAACTAGAGCAGGAGAAAATCCCATTGCTAAATAGAAGAAGAGCTCCACGATTTTATACCTACGTACAAAAACCAAAAATACATTAGCCTGCAATTATGAAAACGGCACTTTCTTGCTTTAGAAACGCAAAATATTTTTGCTTCAACGTCACCCATAAATTCCTGTTGTTCATGGACAGAAGATAGAAATAAATTTAAACAAAACTTTAATAATAGATTTGTTAATATAATGTGAAGCATCCAGAAAATGGGAGGAGTTTCTTGTTGGTTCAATTTCTATTGTTAGTAGAGAATAAACAGCACCTATAAGTACATGACTATGTATCACTCTCTTGCCACTTCTCACCAATATTCAGAAGGAAGACTTTCCTTACACTGGGAATGGATTCCTATGTAAGTGACAGAAAAAGATACCCCCGAAGCACTTGTGGAAACAGTATCTTGTGCAGCCCAGGATAACAAACTTTATGGGCCAAAAATGGGGGTGGGGGGGGCGTGGAGGCCAAAAACGGGGCATGCGGAGGCAGCAATAGGTGATGGCAATCCCTGCAGCCCGAAATAGCTGATCATCAGGAGGCCAATCCAACTGACAATTAGCTGCTTGTGCTAATCAGGCTGTGCTGAAGCTGAAACAGGCTGTTTGCTGTTTGCTACAAGGAGGGAAATTGCTGGGAGGCAGAGGCAGATTTTTTTTTCTTGTTTTCCTCCCCAAAAGCTAGGTGCATCTTATACTTCGGAGCATCTTATACTCTGAAAAATACGGTACTTGTATTGGTAACAATTTTCATATCTTCACAAAACATGTGAGAAGCTACTTCAAATGACACATTTGGAGGCAACACTAAGCTCCTCTAAAGGATTAATCCCACTTACTAGCTAGCATAATAAGCATAAAACTTTCATAGACTAGTTTTGTTTTTTACTTCAACTCTCCAAGCCAGAAATCAAACATGTGAATTTAGAATTAAGAAAGCTTCTCTGAGAATATTCAGAATCTGATGAACTCAGTTAGCAATAATCCTGATCTACCTTCTTTCTGTTGCTGTACTGTATTAGAAAATATATTTCCCTAGAATTTTAATATTGAGAACGGTCTGGATGTATACAGTGGAATAAAAAATGGACTGCAGTCACATACTCTATTTTTTTCCATATGACTCCAAGCTGTTCTCATCAAGCAGAATATTAAGTGCGGCTTTAATTATTTATCAAAAAGAACTCTTAAAAGCGAGACAAGTGATTTTTTTATAGGCTGATAATGTCCTCCTACTGGCACTGCAAGGGAGAAAAAAATTAATAATACAAAATCATTTTTCATAAAGAGAAATAAGTGTGTGATTACATGAAAATGGTCTGTTTTATCCTGAAAAAGCAATTGACTTGCACTATTCCAAGGATTTTTATGTAAAAAAGCCACATGCAAGCACTTATGAGATATTTCACTAAACTGAGAGGGGAGGGAGAGGGAGAGGGAGAGAGAAAGAGAGAGAGAAGGGACCAGCACCCTTGAACTTTAAAAGCTATCTAAAATAATCTGATTAGATAGCGACATGGGGATCTCTGCAGACTGAACTGTAGAATCTAAATGGTCACATATAACATTAAAGAATAATCATGATAATCCTTACTTTTCATGGTAGTGAAATACATAAAATGCTCCCCCAGCAGCCATTAGCCAGATAAACCAACGCATATGAGATGCCAGAGGCCCAAGTTCCCGAAGATTTAACCTGAAAAAAATATTTAAATGACTTTCTGAACTAGTAAAAAGAATGGCATATTAAAGGCATCTTAAATTCTTTTTCCAGATGTAAAAAAATAATCCAGTCAGTTCTCAAAGGCAAGGTGGAGGAGAAAACACATCCTTTTTGTTATTAATATGGTTTTAGTTTAAAAAAAAATCAAGAAAAAAGTTAAGTTAAAATATAGTGGTGTGAATACATAATATTCAAGCTCATTTAAAACATCCATATCACTAACATTCAATAAATTGAAAAAGTTAGTTCTGATGACAAAGTATGATAGTCCTTGACTTACAACAGTTCATTTAGTGATTGTTCAAAGTTACAACAGCACCGAAAAATGGCCAAGACTGTTTTTCACACTTACAACTGCTGCAGCATCCCCTTGATCATGTGATCAAAATTTGGATGCTTGGCAACTGGTTCATGTTTATGATAACTGCAGTGTCCTAGGGAGATAAGGTCAGCTTTTGCAATCTTTTGACAAGCTAAGTCAATGAGGAAGCCAGATTACAACCATGTTACTAATTTAACAATAGCAATGATTCCTTCAATAACTGTGGCAAGAAAGGTCGTAAAATGGGGCAAAACTCACTTAATAAATGTCTCACTTAGCAACATAAATTTTGGGATAAGTTTGGTCATAAGTTGAGGACTACCTGTAAATTTTAATTTATTAATCCCAATCACACTTGGAAAACTAAAATTTGCTTATAGTTTCATAAAATGTGTACTATAGCTTCTTATAGCAATAAAATTCTATTAAAATTATTTCAGTTCCCTGAAAAGAGTACAGTGTAAGTGCAGCATCACAGAATATTGTTGCCTCACATTCAGAGCTGCAGCTGTGGTGCATTATTTAGGGAACGGTCCCCAAAAAGCAGAAATCTGATTCTGTACTAATCTTGTGTGATCAGGTCAACTAAGTTGAAAAGGCAAAGACAAAAACAAACCAGCAACCCCACCACCACCACCACACTTAATTTATCAGATGGAAAACAAATTGTACTTTTATTTTTTCTCAGGTTAGGAGCAATTATTTAACTAATCCTTCAGATGATAATATGGGATTACATTTGTTTTCTACCCAAGAGCATATATTTTCATCCTTACCAAGGTGCATATGATGCTGCAATGAAGATATAGATCATCATTCGGTCACACATATGGAAACAGTGCTCCATTGTCCTAAATTGCAAACAGGGAACACTTCAGAAAAAAAGTGCCATTAAAATAATTACCCTGGAATTCCACCGAAGAAGTACTAGGCAGACAGAGAAGATTAAACTAGCCAAAACAAAATGCTTGTTTTCTTCAGCCTCTCAGAAAAAAACAAACAAACAAACAAAAAAGGCAAAGCATCTAAATCAAAACCAGTATCCAAATGTGCTTTTCTGCTCTTTCTTCCCAAAATTGTATTTTAGAAATGTAAAACTGAGCAATATTAGTCTTCAGTTCAAATATTGTGCTCAACTGTCCTATAAGGCTTTTTTTGTTTGGTTTATTTTTTAATAAATATTTTAGCAAAAATATTATACAATGAAAAATACTGAGTCATTTTATTGCTTAAATTCTGGAGAAAAGAATTATTGAATTTACTTTGCAATACAGCTTAGGAATTGGGTACCTGGAGAAGGAAAAAAACTTTGTGTTTTTCATATATATATATATATATATATTTGGGGCAGACCAAACCATATATACTGCAGTCTACTTATATGATCATGTATTAACGTTGTTTAAATGGATTCTATTAAAAGACTTCATTCATCATACTTGTTTGACAATTAAAACTAAGTGCCAAAATTGTTCTTGGGTGTAATGAAATCTTCAGCCACTTGCAAATTGGCTTATAGTGGCAGCAAGAATGCCTTTAATTTTAGGAATTTTTCTTCCCCTCTACTCCCTCTCCCACCCCACTTACTAAAATTGCTAGAAGGAAGAAACAGGGCTTCCTGACCTTCCAGCAATGTTTGGCACCAGGAAGCCATTTATATTTTCTCTATGCTTCCTGACAGTTTGCTGATCTTCTGATGAGGAGGCTGCTGGAGAGAAAGTGCAGTATCCCATTTGGGGAGCTTCCATTGCACATCAAGTTGAGGGATGAGCATGCAGCTGATTCTCATGCTAGTATATTTTAGGCTAAAAATTCACATTTTTTTTGTTCCATGAATTCCCCCATCTTTCTATTGCATGTATACACTAGAGGATTAATTAATTGATTAAAATAGATGTGTGGTCATCAAAGCATTTTTAAAAATATAACTTGAAATCTGAAATTTGAAATGGACACCTAACATTAGAGAATCATTATTAAAAAGGCACAACAAAGAATGTTCCTCTTGCGTCAACTCAGAAAGTTCAGACTGCCCCAGAGGAATTATTGAATCAGCAACCAAATAAGGCAGGTACAGACTCCAACGATAGTTAGAATTTCAGAAAGAACAATTGCAACCAGCCTGCCTTTTATAGAGGACCTATATATTGCCTGGATCAGAAGCGGGGCTGAACAAAATAACTACAGACCTCTCAAATCCTGGCTATAAACTGTTTCAACTCCTTCCCTTGGGACACCACTTACAGGGCACTGTATGCCAAAACAACTAGATACAAAGACAATTTTTCCCTCGTGCCATCGCTCTACTGAACACCTAATTCCCCCAGTATTTTCTTATATCTAAGTATATTTACCCATGTGTTATGGCTGTAGTATTATTATCTTTCTCATCTACTCTACTATTCCCTCTTATTGGTATTATCATCATCATTATTATTATTTTGTTGCTTTGCATGTACACTGAGAACTTCAGCACCAGAGACAAATTCCTAGTGTGTCTAATCACACTTGGCCAATAAAATATTCTATTCTGAATGTTTGGGTGCTTCAAAAATAAGATAATCGAAGTGAGTTTTTTGATCAGGCTGATGATTTGTTATTTTACTCCCCTAATTATTTTATGCTAGCATGCTTATGCTTTAAGATGCTTTAGATTTTCTGTCATTTAAAAAAAATAGTGCTTGATCAGACCCCAGGTGTCCAAATGAACTATTCTGTAGAAAAAGATAGAAGTAGATAAAGATAAGACAACATTTTAGTATTTTAGAGATCAGTAAACATTCAATAAAAAGACAGGAAGATGACTTGTATAGGACTCTTGCGAAAGTTTCCTTCCCAAAATTAGAAGAGAGGATGCAAATGTTGAGGGTAAGATTTGGTTTTCTTACATAAGCAACTGTTGCAAGAGGACATAATTCTAGGGAAATTAAGTTAGTTGCTTCACCCTGAAGTTCCATGTTTGCTAATGAGGGATTAACTAAAAGATGTCTTTGGGTTATCTGATTTCAGAAATATAGTAAGCCAATATTTTAAAGAGTGTATTCCTTGCAAAGAGCGGGACTAAGCCCTACGATCAGTGCTAATGAAATCAACATTTGTTCCTGGTAGCTTAATTTTCAGGATATTTTGTGGTCTAGATGTCAGGGAATATTTAAAATTACAAAAGATAAATTGTACAAAGAAGAATCATTGTAACAAATTTATTTTGCTCTGAAACATAACATAAAAGACTTACTTAAAAAAAGCAGAACAGATTAGAGTGTGTCAGAAGAAAGTGCCAGAAATCTCTACCTTAGATGACTCTTCTTCCAAGAAATGATATGAAATACTGTTGAAACGATGAAAAGTGCACATAGACCAACTCCATATATCCATGCTGTTATCTTTTCCCACTGATCCTCAGACAGTCGATGAAGGAGGGCACTACCAACAATGGCTGGGAAAATAAGAAACTAGACAAAAACAAACAAACCCAAAAACAAAGCAAAACAAATGCATTATCTCATCTAAATTGTACGCCACTTATAAATGTGCCCTCTTCACCTCATATTACTGTGCAAATACTTCACGTTGACATCAATAAGGCATTTGGCTCACAACAAAGCACCCCTACTTAAAATAATGAATGGTCTGAAATCTTCTCAAGGTCTCCTGGGCACGTAGGAGGTTGGCCCAGAAGACATTTTATCTGAGATAGCTGTCAAATCCCTGATAGTCATTTTTTTTCCTCTGCCCTTTGATTCAAATGAAATGAAAATAAGTGAGGTTTTAAAACAAAATTATATTATCCTAGTATATAACAAATAAACGTATTTTTAATTTCCATTAGCATGGAAAGGAGGAACAATGTTTCTAATTTCCTCGCGCGTTTAATCTCAAGATCTCTCAATTATTTTGAATAACAATTGCTGGTACAGAATTGCTACGTCACAAAGACACACCACATGCCAAAAGACAAAGCAGCACCCAACTATCAGGCAACGTCATGTTTGAGATCAAAATAAGCTGAAATTAAATTCACTGTGCAAGTGAGGAAAAAAAAACCTAGAACACTTACAAAATATCTAATATGTATGCTTAGTTACAGAGATTCACGATTACTGTCTTTAAAATTGCTGGATGCTGGTTTAGTACAACCTGTAAACTATCCATTATAAACCATAGTTCAGGCTTAAAATTAGTTGTGAACCAGGCTACTATACTTTGCTTAAAAACACAGGGCTAAACCAACCAAATTTTGTGTTAACATGTTTATGTTCTAACTACTTCATTGCCTTTAAAATTTATATTTTAGTAAGATGTCTAAAATATTTTCACAGCCTGCCAAAAATGCACTTGTTTCTAAACAGCATGTTGACAAGCCTAGACATTTTATTCATTTATATGTATCATATATACAAATTATGCAAAAAAAATTCTCTAGTCCAAGATACATGACATAACTAAATACTTTCTATACAGTATTGTGGTACTAGCTAATTCGTACAGTAATTATCTATTTATTTTCAGATGCCCGCTTACTTCCAGTTTACAAACACAATTGTTATATGAAACCATTGTCCTTGCAGTCAAAAAATAAAAATCTTACCAAATAAACAGTTAAACAAACCCATACATATCATGTTACTTGAGATTTCTCTACGATAACAATATTTGCTTATTCATTTTAATAAACCTCCCTTATATCATTAGTCCTTTTCTTTTATCTACATGTTTCTAACTTCTGTTTTTATTAGCTAGCCACTGATAAAATAAGTCCCATGTCAAAAAAATATTCAGTTTCTTCCTTTCCCTTAATTGTAAGTGTTAGTCTATCCATTTCTGCACATTCTAATATTTTTTAAATCACATTTTCATCTTCATTTCACTTTTCCACTGTTGTGCAAACACAATTCTAGTTGCAGTTAATACAAGTAGAATCAAATATGCATTCCCCCTTGTTATACTTATCTGATAAAATGCCCAACAGAAGTATTTCTGTTTTTAAATCTATATGTTGCTTTTTTAATCATTTTTTTCCATCCATGTGTATATTTTTGTCCATTTTTTTTTGCTTTTGGGCAGAGATTTTTCAACTAGACCATTGTAACTATGTTAACTATCACATTAACTATCTAACCTACGACTGCTGGTCAACCTAATATAAAAGGAAAACTTGAAATAAGAGGAAAATATATAGAAATAACAGAATAATGATTTAGCTGACACAGACCAAATAAGAGGCAGGCTACTAGTTGATCAGCATTTTAATAATTGTGACACATTTTGCTAAAGGGAACGGGAGGAAAATATTATTTCCAGTCAAGTTCCTCAAAATCTTAGTATTTCAGTTTACTGTCATGATAATTTGGGGAAAAAAGGGTGAGGGACTCAAAGCCTGATATAATACTGAATTAGTTTACTATATTTAATAAATATATTTAATGAATTTCATGTCCCATGGAAGAAAAACAATGGAAAAGAATCTATAAGGTTTTGGTTGAACCCTCTTTTTAGCATAAATTGCCAAAACAGTACACAAACCAAAGTAACACAAGTAGCCTGTACTGTATCAGAAAAATGAATTAAAGTAATGCATAATGAATGAAAGGTCCCCTGATCTAATCAATTATCAATACACTATTAAATTTAATGTTTTGTATACACTCGCAGATAAGCCAAGAATTTAGGTGCCATAACACAGGGGTCCCCAACCACCGGTCCCCGGACCGGGATCGGTCCGTGGAACAATTTCTACCGAGCCGCCAGTTTGCTGGGCGCTGCCATCTTGTTTTGATGAAAAAGTGCTTCCGGTGAGCTTTTCCGGGTAGAAAGCGGTGTTTGGGTGATGAAAGAATCCTCGCACCTTAGTTTCATCGAGGGGGGGGGGCGGCTTCGAACAAAACTAAGGCACAAGGATTCTTTCAGCACGCATGGCAAGGCAAGCCGAGCGACCGTCTCGAAGCCGTCGCGAAGCCCATCGACACAGGTACAAAGGAGGAGTTGAAGGTGGCGGGGAGAAGCGGAGGATGGATGGATGGCCGGTCACTCGGCTTGCCTTGCCATGCGTGCTGATGCCGGTACCGGGCCGTGGATGATTTTGTGATGCCGGTACCGGGCCGCGGCACAAAAAAGGTTGGGGACCATTGCCATAACACACACCCCTACACACAATTGAGTTCAGTTTATCCATGGATGAGCTTACCTGTGAGTATATATAGCAATACTTTTTAAAAGTACCCATCCATATTCTCATATTAATCCATTTGCAATTAAACGGACCCCCGTGTTTTTAAGCAAAATATGATGAAAAAAGTGCCACCTTCAGATAAGCTGACACTCAAAATATTTTGATGTATTGATTTTCATAATTGGCTTATCTGCAGATGATGCGTTTTTCACTGTATCTTGGTTAACTTAATCCATGGATGGGATCATGCACTAATATATTTGGCAGACAGGAATCAGAATTATTTGGACTATCATAAGAATTGACTTCCAGGAAATTTACTTACCGCATGAGTGTAACAGTTAGCAGCATGCTCATAGCAAGTAGGTTTATAACGACTGTTTGCTGGAGCTGGATGATTCATAAATCTGTTGAGATAATCAAAATATTAGGATGATGCAGATTAATATTGCAAGAATGTAAAGAATGCATTTATTTATTGTTAAATTAATTCATATTTTAATGTTTTTGATACCGAACATTAAATACATTTACAATGAAAAAACAGAATTTCATTAAAAGTGCTTTCCTCCACTCTCGGCACAACAAAACATTTAGAATTTAAAAGTAACATTGATCATCAAATGTACGTCCATTTTACTGCAACATTATTTTTGGGGAAAGAAACCCATGGCAATGGGTATTTACACCCTGAAACAAAAATATTAAGAGGTTGGATAATAGAGTCATGATTTGGAAAAGTTACTTCACCTTATTTCTCTTCCATAGTAGAGAAGGCAAATTTTTTTTTTTTTTAAATTATGATAAATAAACCTACACATCTTCTTTGAGGATTCCACTTCCTAGATTCTGGCTATATATATACACATGCCTTTTTTTAAAAAAATAAACAAATCTCCATAATTTAAAAACTCATCTCTAAATCTTACAATTAAGAAATCTACATCAGGGTTTTATATATTCATTTATCAATTGGAATAAACTGCTTATCAGTGCTTTCTTCCAATTAACTAATTCAGAGCTTCAATTAGAGAGTATCTTGCAAAAAGGACCAAAATGTTTATCAAAAAGTTATGACACATAGCTCCAAACCTTAATATAGAGCATTTTGATGAAGTGAGTTATCACTAACCCTTAATGTGCACACTGAATTTCATTCCAATAATAACTAAAGCTCCAAAACATATCATCACTATAACACTATAAAATGTTTCCTAACTCCTTTTCAAAATGGCATGGGATTATGCTTTGCTTTGTATTTTGAGAAACAAATCACAACCTTCACTATGTCTCAATTTCATAAAATTTCAATAAAGTATTACAGTAATCAAATCTGTTTGGAACTTGAAATAAAAAAAATACAGATTCTGAATATATAAATCAGTCTTTCAAATTTCAGCTGAATTATTATCTGAATGTCACAGCAGACTAGTTCAATCACAAAAAAACACATTTTGTTTCCAACTATTTTCCTTACCCATATAAAGCTGCTATCTTCCCCAAAATAATGATTCCCCAAATCATATCACTGAAATGTGGCCATTTAATACCAAATCAGCAATACACTCTCAGGGTGCTAGGTGATATTTTGAGGACTGTCTTCTGCAGACTCTCTGCTACAGAGATATTTGTAAGTCCCAATTGTGTTCAAAGCCATTCAACTGTTAAATTACTAAACATTTAATTTTAGTAAGTTAGACAATTCATAAATCTGTTTTAAGTAGTGCATAATAGTTCTGCCTTCCATTTGGAAATATTGCTTTTCTCTTCAAAATGTAAAAAAAAGGGTAGGTACATACTTTCTTTTTATTCCATACATACATTCTATATCCACAAACCTTTAATCTAGGAGCATAGCTACACTTTAATATTTATATAGATTGCTTTTAAAGTGATAATAGAAAAAGGAACAAAAATACAAAGATAATCATGACAGAAATATATACATTATCAAAATAAAAAACATAATTACTTTAAAAAGGTGATAAAAAGAAAATATATAGTTATGAGATTAAATTTCAATTATGTATATATTTACCTAATGCAAGTATGTACAGTGGATACAAAATATCTACACATCCCTGTAAAAATGCCAAATTTTTGAAAGGTTAAAAAAAACCCCACCAAGATATTTCACTTCTATCAGATTGGGAGGGCGTTTTCTGTGGACAGTTCTCTTCTGGCACCCCACTCTGGCTGGGCCATTCCAAAATTTTGATCTTATTTTGGTGAAGCCATTTTATTGTTGATTTGGAGGTACGCTTTGGGTTGCTGTCATACTGAAAGGAGAAATTTCTCTTCATCTTCAGCATGTTTTGTGCCAAAACAGATTGATATTTGGAACTGTTCACAATTCCCTCCATCTTGACCAGGGGTGTAAAACTCGATTTCATTGAAGGCCGCATCAGGATTGTATTTTACCTCGGAGGGCCAGAGTGGGTGTGGTCAGCTCGACATCACTCGTGTCAGGGGTGCCTGTGGTGGCCCAAGCCCTCTGCCAAACAGGCTCCTGAGCTCTGTTTTCTGCTGCAACGGCCTCCTATAAGTAACCCTCTGCCAATGAAAACAGAGCTCAAGAGGGCTGTATCCAGCCCACTCGAGTTTTGTTTTTGCTGTCAGAGGCACCGGCCAGTCTTTCGCTGTTTCCAGGGTGGCCCTGTGGGCCAGATCTAATCACCCTGCAGGCCGGATCTGGCCCCGGGCCTTGAGTTTGACACCCCTGATCTTGACTAAAGTTCCACCTCCAGCTGAAGAAAAGCAGCCCCCAAGCATAATGCTGCACCACATTTCACTGTGAATAAGTTGTATTTTTGGTGATGTACTTTTTGAAATCATGTCAGATGTATTTTTTGAAATGATGGCCAAAATGTTCAGCCTTTGGTCTCATTAGACCAGGTTAACACATTTTCCCACATGCTTCTGTCAGACTTGATGTAGGTTTTTTGCAAAATATACATAGGCTTGAATGTTCTTTGTAAGAAAAGGCTTCCATCTTGCAACCCTACTCCACAGCCCAGATATATGAAGAATATATCATATTCTTCATATGTAGTATGTTGTCATATGTAGTATGCAACCAATACTTGCGCTAGAAATTCCTGCAGGTTCTTTAATGTCGCTGTAAGCCCCTTGGCAACCTCTCAGACGAGAGTTTTCTTCTTGTTTTTTCATCAATTTGGAAGGGATATCCAGTTCTTGCCAATGTCACTGTTGTACTATAGTTTCTCCACTTGAGGATGACCGCCTTCAACTTGTTGCATGGCATATGCAATGCTTTGGAAATTGTTATGAATTCTTCTCCTGATTGACACCTTCCAACAATGAGATGTCTTTGATGCTAACCATTACATGGGCTCAATCAGTCACTTTAATTAATGGCAGGTGTGTACTGACTACTTTTTAATATTAGTTTGGATGAGAGAAAAGTAACAATACAAATGTACAATACTGTGGTTGCATAAATGTGCACATCCCCTTATAAGCAGGGATGTGGCTTTGTTCAGAATTTAACCAAATTCTGAACAAAGCCACATCCCTACTTGTAAGGGGATGTGCACATTTATGCAACCACAGTATTGTACATTTTATTGTTACTTTTCTCTCAAAATATATTTTTTTAATTAAATTGTACAGCTTTTACGTTATATTAAAAGTAGGGAAAAATTCTGCTGCAATTTCATCTTGGTCTGATTTTTTTACATCTCAAAAACCTGGCATTTTAACAGGGGTCTGTAGATTTTAACATCAACTGTATATGTTTATTTCGAATATATTTATGTAACCATCATGCTTTTTAAACCTTACTGTATTTTGTATAAATGAATCCTGTATTTCATTATACTTGTCCACACAAAGTCTACATTCATAGGCAATCTGCGCGTAACGAGTACAGCCGCCTTAGAATACTGTCACTTAAGCCATCATAGAATTTTGGTGGCCAAAAATCTGCTGCACCAATTGTCAATCTACAGTATATATTGCCACAGTACAGTACAGGTCTCTTAATGACTGGTCGCTTAGCAACTGTTGGATGGTATGGTGGACCCACAGTTACTGCCATTGCAGCATTTCCACGATCCCTTGACTGACCACAGGGATGCTCAAGGTTCCCCTGTCTATCTCTCCCCAATTCCCCAGTCCCTCCAGGCAGCAATAAGAAAGGACTCACTATGCCACAATAATCCTAAATGATGAAGTAGAGTTAGATAGATCCCACCCATGAATGTAACAGCAACCACATTATTAATGACATGTAACCATGGCAAAAATTGTGTTGAAAGAAGAGGGAAAATACTGTTTAAAAGTGAAGCAACTAACAATGAACTTAAGGTATCTCACTGTGGGCTCAGCATCAGGACGGTATGGCACAAAAAGCAGTTATTCTATTGGAACATTCATTCTGCAGTCAGGGGGATGTGTGGATGAATCACAAAAACAGTTAAGAACGAGGAACATATAGAAAAATAGTGAAAATGGTGTTCACACACAAAATCTATTACATTGAACTGGTAAAGCCATTTAAGAGCTTATTGTTCATGTATTCCACACTTTTGAAAACAAGTGCAAGATTTAGCTTTGCTGAATAGTTTCTGTTCTGTTTTATATTATTAATTTTCCTTATACATGTGGATTTTTGATCTCAATTTGCAATTTTCATACCCACTTTACACAGTTTACAGCTTTGATATATAACAGGCTGGATTTCAGACTGTTCCTTGCATAAATGAACTTCTTCTGCACATGGAAAATACATTAAATTCCAAAGATGGCTTCATATTAGAGGCAGAGAATCAGGGGCTCATAATTCCTATGGTTGTTTCCTATGTATTTTTTAAAATGCCTTACGTATTATTTTGAAAGATTTATTTTTCCTGCAGAGCATAATCTATAATAAGCATCTCCCCCCGCCCTTCCTCCACTGTAAAAAAAGATGCTAGCTCTATTTATAATCCATTCTATACCAGTCAATCTACAAGTTTCAAATGGGGAAGAAAGGCTTAGGGCTTTGTTTACTAACCATGACTCCAAATAAAATAATTTCAATAATTCTGTTTAGCATGGCATCATTCTGCAGCAAATATAAAAAAACTAGTAACCAACACCTGAAGTTTACCGACATAGAGATGAATATGGAAAATATCAGCAATTGTACACAACAAGTAAGGCATACTTTCCCAATGAAAAACTGGGAGGAAGATTAAATTTATCCAGTATTTGCATGACCCATACAGAAACTGTGAAGAAACTGGCATGGGGAAAGTGGGTGGGAGTGGGTGCGTGGGGTAGCAGGAGTATATCTGCTTGGGTGTCTTAAGTGTCTCTTTGGAATATCCTCCAAGTGCATATTAAACATCTTCCCTTTCCTTTGGAAGGGCTGGTGAGGTAGAATATACTACTCCAGAAGGAA